AAAGTGGCCCATTAACTTGAATTCTTCTAAGCCTCATTCTGTCATCCCTCTGTTCATATTCATGTCCTTATTCTTTCACTATCCCTTCCATGTAGTCCAAATTCTAACAAAGTTCTGAACTGTTTCCTGTCTAGCATACATATGCATCGCTTTCATCCCTCCATGCCTTCTTAAACCTAAACCCCTCACCCCATAGTCAGGGATCTGGTGATACTGGCCTCCTGAGGCCTGGAACTGATTGACTTTTTTTCCCCTCTGTATCCTCATCTCCTAGCACAGTGCCTGGTTAAAAGTACAGGTTTAATAAATGCTTGTTGAATTAATTTTCCCTGGCACAGTACAGATACTTAAATTTCTTAAAGTTAGGGGACCTCTATGGGTCCTCAACCCTATAGAACTCTTAGCCTCCTTGTCCTGAATTTAATCAGCTTAGAATTTGCTTTCTCCTCCTCTTTTCACATACTTATCCCTTCCTCTAAACACTGTGGCTTATAATGTTTATGAACATGTATTTATAGCAAACATAAAAGGTAACTCCTCGTATACATGATGGTTGGGGAGGAGTCAGTCATCACAGCCTTCTTGGATAACTCTTAACTAATATTCTGTCTTGCCTTCCTGTCTAGCTTATATAGCACCTATTGACCTAAACATACAGCTTGCTACTTTTTTTCTATAAGCTATATGAAGTTATCTGATTATTTCATATATGTAGCTTTGTTTGCCCAACCAGACTGCAGGTTTCTTTAGGGCCACATGAGTCCTAATCGGCTTCTGTGTCCTCCTTAGTTTGGGGTAAGGAGGAGCAAACGAGATTTGGTGGCTTTGCCATTTTCTAGAGCTTCGAGGGATATGGATGTAATGAGGACTCTGGGAACCCAGTGTCCACCCCTGACCAGATGGAATCACCGGCCAGAGCAAATGGGATTTTCTGGTAATTCACGTAGATTCTTGCCCGACCAACTTAGACATAATTTTTCTGGTGATGGTGCTCTGTAAAGGTACACATCCCACTCCAGTGATTGGCTGAGATCAGCGCAAAAAACACAGTTCACTTACAGTGTTTTGAAGATTAATGATAGTTATGTCTCACATGTCTACACTTATAAATTTCCCACAAGCTTATAAACTTTCATGTTTCTTTGATTTTTTCCTAATTTTTATCTAGGGCTGTCCGGCATCAAAGAAGGTGCTGTGCTTTATGAGCAAAGCAGAATTGCAGCAGCCCTAAAGAAACGGGAGATGTTCCAATGTGGAGCCCTCTCCACTCCCAGTGTTCATGTGGACTGTTTGTGCTTGACCTGAGGTAGAGCCTTCGGAGCTCCTGCTGGTCTGATCAGCCACAGTCACACACACCGTACCTTAAGCCCAGCATAGTGACGTCGTTTTGGTCCTCAAGCATGGAGCACAACTACCAACCAGTCTAGGACCGTGAACTCGTCCTGATTAATCAGTTTAAGGTTACAAAAAATATAAAACACTTTATCCAGTTTTTCCCCCCTTAAGTCAACAAGGAAGCATTTATTCAGTGCTTACTGTGTGCCAGGCTTTAATCAGTTCTCTGCCTGCTGGCAGCTCCCAGTCTAATGGGAGAGACAGCTTGCAAACAACTATGTGCATATATAGAGGAGATATGCAGGCTAAATTGGGCTAAGCTCAGAAGGAAGGCACCATGTTTTTTCCTTTGTCTCCCCAGCACTTGGCCAAATGCTTAGCAGGCAGTCAATAAACATTTAAGTGCATACTGTGTGAAGAGTAATGTGCTAAATGCTGGGGATACAAAGAAAGGGGAAAAAAGACCCTGCTGTCCAGGAGCTCCCAGTCTAATGGGGGAGAAAACACGCAGACAGCTATACATACCAACACGCTATGTACACAATAAATTAGAAATAAAAGGAGAGCCAGAACAGGAAAGGCTTCTTACAGAATGTGGCATTTCCATGTGCCTGCTGACGATGATATGAAGATCCCTTTTAGGCCTGGTGAGCTCTGTGGTCCTTCCAACTTTGATATTCCATGATGCTGATTCTCTTATATCAAAAGGTCAAGGGAATAGGACTGGCATGAGAAGCTGGCATAGCTGGTGGTGGCCTTGGCACCGTGTGTCAGACGGGGTCACGTTAAAGAAACGCTTTCTTAACAGTGCGGATGTCCTGGGTACTCCCGCTGTAGTGCATCTCTAAAACTTGCCTTGTCAACAAGTGATAACAGACTCAGATGTCCACTGCCCTAGGGGCAGCTAGGTGGCGCAGTGGATAGAGCACTGGCCCTGAAGTCAGTAGGACCTGAGTTCAAATGTGGCCTCAGACCAAACACTTGGCACTTGCTAGCTATGTGACCCTGAGCAAGTCACTTAACCCCAATTGCCTCACTAAAAAAAAAAAAAGATGTCCACTGCCCCATGTGAAGCAAGAAGCATTTATGAAGTATTTATGATGTGCCAGGCACTGTGCTAACTTCTGGGGAAGCAAAGGCAGAAAGTCTCTGCCCTTAAGGAGATCACATTTCTGATACAGGAGACAACATGTAAATAACCGCATACATAGAAGGAATCTGCAGAATAAGTGGAATTTCCTCTCTGAAGGAAGGCTCAGGGCAGGGCTAAGGGGCTGGGGCAGGCTGTAAGAAAGGCTCTTAGAGTTGAAACCAGGAAGGACCTGGAGGGAGAGCATATTTACCTTTTGTATCCGTTATTTGTTATCTTTGTATTCCCAGTAGTGCCTCCTGACATGCTTCGTACACAGTAGGTAGTTTGTTTTTGTTGAATTTAGTCTCATTCAGTCATAGGAGTTTAGGGCTGCAAGGGAATTTAGATATCTAGTCCAGTTTTCTCATTTTAAAATCCAGAAGGGCAGAGCAGCAGGAAACAGGATTGTAAACTCCTCCCACAAAATTATTCCTTCAAACACCTAAAAAATGCCAAGGCTTAATTCTTAGGGAGAAATCTGGAAAACTTATTTGTGAGCCATTTGTCCATCTCATTTGGCCCAGGTAGATGGGCAGAGAGGTCTGCAGACCCTGGGGACTGCCCAGGCACTGAGACAGAGACAGGTGCCTCCTGGCAGCCTTGTAGTGCCCCATGACCCAGGGCCATGTCACAGATACAGAAGCCCTGTGGGATGAACTAGCAAAGGAAGAAGCTCAGACCCCAGGAGCAAAGAAAGCCTGAGGCTCAGCCTGCAGATGTGGAGTCACCAGCTAAAGGGGAGCCCGTAGTTGGGTCTCTTAGAACCAGCAGAGCTTCCCAGCTGGCTGAAAGGGACCGAGTCCAGAAGCAGTCAGCTGTTGCTCAGACCCAAACCCAGCTCAGGAACTTGTGGGAGTCAGACCTTGCCCTGGATCAGAACACTGAGAGCAGTGAAAGCTTACTGTAGCTCCCCAGCCTGTCCCTGAGATCCTGGAATAACATGATATTTAATACCCAGGACTTACCCTCCAGGAGTATGCAGAGCCCAGCTCCCATATCCAGTCTAAAGTTAGGAGGTAGGAAGAATGAGCCAACAGAAAACTTTACCTCAAAGAGCTGCGGGGTGGGGGGGGGACGGGGCAGCTAGGTGGCACAGTGGATAGAGTGCTGGCCCTGAAGTCAGGAGGACCTGGGTTCAAATCTGGCCTCAGACCAAACATTTGATACTTACTAGCTGTGTGACCCTGGGCAAGTCACTTAACCCCAATTGCCTAAAAAACCAAAAATAAATAAATAAGTGAAAAAGAGCTGCAGGGATGCTCCAGACATAAAGAGGGAGGAAGCAAATGACTCTGAAACATGTGTAAGCAATGCTTCAGAGAAAGACACAGCTTGGGCACAAACTTAGAATTCCTGGGAAACATGAAGCAAGAGTTAAAAAAAAAAGTTGGAAATATTGTTATTAATGAAATGAGAATGGTTGAGGAAAACATTGGAAAAGAAGTGAGAGCTATGGAAGAAAGAATTGGGAAGGGAATCAATAGCTTGACACCAGATATAAAACTTAACTAAGCAGTAAACTCTCTGAAAAGTAGAATGGACCAAATAGAAGCCAATGACGCCATGAGACCAAAAAGATTGAAAAAAGGCAAGAGACTGAAAAAAGAACTAGAAGAAAATATAAGGTCTCCCATAGCAAAAACTACTGACGTGGAACAGATTGAACAGAAGAGAAAAAAACGTAAGGCTCATTGGACTGTCTGAACACCATGACCATAAAGAGCCTGGACGTCATATTTCAAGGAGTCTCCGGAAAAACTGCTCAAATCTCTTGGAACTAGAGAACAAAGTGGAAATAGGAAGAATCCACAGGTCATCTACTGTAAGAAACCCTGAAATGAAAACTCAAGAACGATCTAGCCAAAATCCAGAACTTTCGGTCAAAGAGAAAATACTACAACCATCCAGAGGTAAGAATTCAGCAGCCACCACTCTGAGGGAGTTGAGAACTTGGAATATGATATTCCAGAAGACAAAGAACCTAGGCTTACAGTTAAGATATACAACTTGTTTCTTTTAATAAATGAGTAAACAACAAATGCGTCTGTACATGCCCATGTATTCACAATGACTTTGAATTCTTGCTTTCAGCTCTTTCTGATACATTAATATATTTGTTTTTAATGACTGATGGAAGTTTAAAACATTAATAAAAATGTATGCACATGTCAGTATAAAGAAGTTGAGTGGGCTGTCACAGGAGGTAATAAAAACTGGGTGCTGCTTGCCTGATACGCAGTCGAAGAGATTTGGGGGCAGACATGGGTTGGGTGCGGTGCCATCAGAGGTCCTCCATTTCCAACTCTCTTTTCTGTCTCTGCACCTTGCCCAAGATTGTCCAGCCCGGTAAAATCCTGTCTCCTAAATCTCCGGTAAATGTTTTTCTGTGACATCAGTGTTAATTTCATAGCTGATGGGGGTTTGGGGTCAAAGTTGTTATTGAAAATCATTTGAATTTTTAAAAATTCATTTTTATGAAACACAACATTTGTGAGATATACTTCTCATTCTGTGTGTTCTTATTTCTCCTTAGAATTGCCTCTGTGGAAAATTTGTACTCCGTCCCTTGAGACCATGCCGTAGATACTCTGCAACAAGAAATTCTGGGTATGTAGATTGATAGTCATCATTACAGATGTTTTCAATTAGGAACAGTCAGCAACCTTGGGGTTTTTATTTTGTGAAATCAATTTTTATTTTTTAGAAAACTTCAAGGTCTGCTTTCTCTTTACCTCTCCTCCCCCCCGGTGAAAAACCAAGGAAAACAAAACCCCCTGTTAAAATCATGCATCATCAAGCAGAACAAATCCCTGCCTCGGCTGGGTGTGCTTCACGCTGTCCTCGAATCCAGCCTCCCCCGGGCGGGCTCTTTCTCTGCGACTCCTCCAGAACCATAGCTGGGCTTTGTGTTGATCAGAATTGCTCACACTTTAAAAGCTGATTGTCGTTAGAACATTCAGCGAGCGTTATGAAGGGCCTCCTACTGTGGTAGTCTGGGCATGAGATGATGTGGGCCTGGGCCAGGGTGGTTGCAGTGTTGGGGGAGCGGGAACTGTATAGAAGAGATAATGTGGAGCTAGAGACAACAGAGTTGACAGCTGATTGGATAGGAGGTTGAGATGACACCTCAGTTTCAAGTTTGGGTGACCAGGAAGATGGCAGGACTCTGTCTAGTCATAGAGATATTTAGAAGAGAAGCGTTAAGTGGAGGTGCGGGATGGAGGAATGGACAAGGTAATGATTTTACTTTTAGACATATTGAGTTTAAGATGTCTTTGAAGCTTCCAGTTCGCCACGTCCAGTAGGCGAGGTGGAGATTCTGGCCTAGAGGTTAGGAGATAGCTGAGGGTCATCTGCATAGAGATGATAATTAAAACCATGGGAGCTAATGTGATCATCTTGTGAAATGGTGTAGAGGGAGAGGTCAGGAAGGATGAGGATTGAGAAAAAGCCACTGGATTTGGCCACTGAGAGATCATTGCTGACTTTGGAGAGAGCCTTTTCAGCTGAATGGTGAGTTTGGAAAGAATTACGAGGAAGAAGAAGAAGGGGAGTGGAGGCATTGAATTTAGATGGCCTTCTCAGGAGTTCAACCACCAACGGGACGAGAAAGCTAGGATGATCACTAGCGGGGGCGGATGGATCAGGCCGAGGGAGATGTGGCCTGTTTGGAGGCAGGAGAGGGCAGCCAGGAGACAGGGAGGGAGCTGTCCAGATAGGGTGAGAGAGGAGGGACTACAGAAGGATCAGTCTGCTGGAGAAGACAGGATGGAATGGGATCACTTGTGCATGCATCAGGGTTGGCCTTGGCAAGGAGAAGGGCCATCTCATTACGTGGGAAGCTGGAAGAAGAGAAAGTGTCTGGATGCATCTGAGGCATGGGAGATGGGGGGGGTGAATACAACCTCCCCCCACCCCCACCCCCCAGAGGAGAAGAGGGAGCTCTCTCAGTGCACTGAGAGGCAGAATTTTTTTTAATATAAATTTATTTAGTTTTAGTTTTCAACATTCACTCCCACAAGTTTTTGAGTTCCAAATTTTCACCCCATCTCCCCCCTCCCCCCACCTCAAGATGTCATACATTCTGAATATCCCTTCCCCTAGTCTGTTCTCTCTTCTATCTCTCTCCCCTTCTCTTATCCCCTTCCCCTTCTGTTTTCCTGTAGGGCAGGATAGACTTCTGTACCCCATTTCCTATAATTCTTATTTCCCAGTAGCATGTGAAAACATTTTTTTTAAACATACGTTTTTAAAACTTTAGGTTTCAAATTTTCTCTCTTCCTCCCTTCCCACCCACCCTCATTGAAAAGGCAAGCAACTCAATATAGGTTGTACATGTGCAGTTATGCAAAACACGTCCATAGTAGATATGTTGTGAAAAACTAACTGTATTTCCCTTAATCCTATCCTGCCCTCCCATTTATTCTATTCTTTCTTTTGACCCTGTCCCTCCTCAGAAGTATTTACTTCTGATTACCCCCCTTTCCCAATCTGTGAGAGGCAGAGTTTTTGCTAAGACATATGGGATACATACAAAGTCAGCACAATACAGTCTTCAAGTAGGGGTTTCTTTTTTATGTCATGGATTCCTTGGACAATCTGGCGAGACCTATGGCCTCCCTAAATGTACAAAATAAAATATATGTAATTACAAAAAAAATCAGTTATTGAAATGCCCCTTTCAAAATATCAAAAAAAACAAGTTCATGGTCCCAGTTTAAAAAAAAAACCTTCATTGAGGAGTAGAAGGGAGGCATGAGATACTGGGCATGGGAGGGAAGGGTGGGAGAGTGCAGGAAATACTGCATTAGAAAGGGGAGGTTTAGCCAAGTCTCGAAGGAAATCATAGCTGACATTTCTATAGCGCCGACTGTGTGCCAGGCATTGCTAAGTGCTTCATGGTCATCTCATTTGATCTTCACAGTGTCTCTGGGAGGTTGGTGCTGCTATTTATCCCCATTTTGCAGGTAAAGGTCCTGAGGCAAGCGAGGGTTAAGTAATATACCCTGGGTTGACTGGATTTGAACTCAGGTTTTTGTGACTCCCAACCTATCACTCTTATCTACTGCACCAGCCAGCTGCCCCAAATCAGGGTTTCCCTGAGGTAGAGGTGAGCAGCGAGAGACTTCCAGCTGGTGTGTCCGAGCTCTGGCATGCATATGGAAGGTGACTGGGGGCAGCTTAGGAGGAGCTTCACATGCCAAACAGGAGTTTATCTTTGACCCTTAAGGGAACAGAGGGCATTCTTAGCACCTCCATGATCAGACCTATGCTTGATGAAAATCATGGTGGTGACTTTGTGGACTAGGGATTGGAATGGAAACAGGTTGAAGGCTCTGACACTAGTCCAGGTGAGTGGGGTTGGGACCTGAATGAGGGTGGTTGTGCCACTGTGAGTAGGAAGACAGGTAAAAAGTGTGCCATGATTAGTAATCAGATTGGCCAACTGATTGTGTGTGGGGTGGGGTGGAGTGAGTGAAGAGTCAGGAATGACATTGAGATTTTCCTCACCTCTGCGTTTTGGACATCTAATTGGCAAGATGGTGGTGCTTTGACACCATTATGTATGACACCAGAGTGTGCAGTAGGGAAATGCAGAAGAGGGGTAGAATTGGTGAGAAAGTTCTGTTTTGGACATTTTAGTCTGGGATGTCTATAGGACATCCATTTCTAAGTATCCAGTAGGCATTTGGTGGCATGGGACTAGAGACCAGGAGAAAAAGGAAGTCTTGATAAAGTGACCTAGAAGTTGTTCCATTGAGGTGATCATTGAACCCATGGGAACTGATGAAATCATGCGAAAGAACATAGAAAGGAAGCAGACCAAGGGCCCGGGACAGAGCCTTGGGGGGGGATCTTCACAACTAGTGGGCATGAGGTAGATAAAAACTTGGCAGAGGAGGCTGAAGAGAGGTCATCTGGGAGGAAGAGATCGAGGGAGAGCAAACCCCTGACAGTCCAGAGAGGAGAGCCCCTGGTCAGCAGGGCACAAGGCTACAGGGGCCGAGGAAGGGCCGGGTGATTTGGCAGGTAAGTGAGCTTCAGGTGAGTGAGGTCAGAAACCCCTGGGAGGAAAGGGGAGGCCCCAGGTGTCGACAGCCTGTTCAAATTTAGCTAGGAAGGGGAGAATGGATGCTGGCGGGCAAGATAGAGTCTGGTGAAGGTTCTTAAAGGATGGAGGAGACTGGGGCGAGTTTGAGGCAGCAGGGAAAAAACCTGGGAAGGTATTGTAGAGTAGGGTAGAGGGAGATTTTCAGAGGCAGCTAGGTGGTGCAGTGGGTAGAATGCTGGGCCTGAAATCAGGATGACCTGAATTCAAATTCCCTGTCAGACACTTAACTATCTGTTGAGTGACCTTAAGCAAGTCATTTAAGCTCTGCCTCAGTTTCCTTAGCTGTAAAATGGGGATAGTAATAATAATAGCACCTACCTCTCAAGGTTATTGTGAGGATCAAGTGAGGTAATATTTATAGAGCCAAGCCTGGCAGAGTGCTTGACCCATTGTAGGCTCTATATAAGTGCTGCCGGTCATCAGCATTAGTATTATGCTGGTTAAAGTCTTTTGCTTCTAAAATAAATGTATGTGTGTGTGTGTGTGTGTGTGTGTGTGTGTGTGTTTATGTGGGGATAGATAGTCTTTATCTAGAGACTTTTCCCTTTTTTTGGATAAACATACATGTAGGAGTCTTGCAGTGATGGCCTAGTGCTATGAGATTGGCTCTAGAAGAAATCTCCTTCCCGTTGAAGCTTTTTTGGTCCTTTAGTAATTAAGCTGTCTTTGTGAGGTTCTAACATTGACCCGCCTTTGTATTTCTGTGCACAGTTCCTGGTTTTGGGTCTTTTCTGACAGCATTGCTAAGATGTAATGAGAGAATTTATTCCGTAATGAATGAGGTTACGTATACAATGGCTGGCATACTGCCTGACGCATGAAAACATGAAAAGGCATGGATTAAGCACTTGCTGTGTACCAGGCATCGAGTCTGGTTTCAGGGACCTGGTGAGATGCTTCAGATGCCCCCTTTCCAAGCTGCTGGAGGAGAGGCGTCAGTAAGTGGGCAGAGGCTTCTGAAACATTGCCTGCCAAGCTGATTTTACTGAATCTCTTGAGGGTTCAAAGCAAATCTCTCAACTTCTTCTCTACTCAGGAGGAGGAACAGGTTTGTGAACAGTTACATCTTTGTCATCTTGCGGGATTTTCCTGTCCCCATTCTTCAGGGGCGGAGCAGGTAACTGTTCCCTGTCATAGCGTTAAAAGCATCAGATTTAAGGAGAAAACATCTGACTTCATTATTCACAGTTTCTGAATTGATCGTGGGAAAATGGTGCTAGAGACCTCGGAGGAGACGGTTGTGATGGAGAAAATAGTATTCTGAAAATGTTAATTATTTCAAATATTTTGTTTGATCAGATAATATTCAGAACCTCTTTCTTTTAAATATTAACCATTTGCTCTTTCTTTATCTTAGGCTTTCTGCAGGCAAAATTGCTGGAGCAGGCCTCTTGTTTATTGGTGGTGGTGTTGGTGGAACCATTCTGTATGCTAAGTGGGACCAGCGTTTCCGAGACAGTGTAGAAAAGACCATCCCTTTTTCTGACAAGGTCTTTGAGATGGTCCTTGGTTCTTCCCAGGCAGTGCCATTGCCAAAGCAGCCGGTAAGACTGAGGCTTTGTTTTGCTTTTTTAATAAAATGAATAGTGATCAACATGAGCAAATAAATAAAATAAGGGGTCAGGGACGCTCCTACATAAAATTTTAACATTTAATGAGGTAGAACCAAATGGATTAAGAAGCAGGCGAAGACAGGCCTCATGGTGGGTCTTCTTCCGCACACCAGCTGCCTCTGCCCTGCCTGCCTCTCTGTCTGCGCTCCTGGAGTTTGTTGTTAATGTGTGGGCAGCCTTGGCATGGCTGATTGCAGTTGGTTTCTCCTCCTTTTTGTGTTTCCTTGTACAGTTCATGGTTTTTGGTCTTTTATGACAGTGTTGCTAAGATGTGATTAAAAAAGATTCTCGCAGGAAACATTGTGTTCATAACAGATTTGTGTTTGCCAAGACTATTTGAATTAGCCTAATTTCCCTGAACAGGCTTCTGTTTTTTATTGATAAATCATGGAATCATAGAGCTGGAAAGGTACCTTCCTAATTCCCTGGTCCCAGGCCTCTCATTTTACAAATGAGTCTCTCAGATATTATGAATTGTCTTGTATCATGCAGTGAGCTAATGCAGAGGTAGGAGTAGAAAAACCCTTTCCTTCTTATTTTTGATTCATTTTTATTTCTGCTCTACTATGCTGTTGTTTGTATTTGAAATTCCATAGTTATTTAGCATGTTAAAAAAATGCAATAAAAATTGTTCCAATGCCCAGAAGGTGATTGTGGGGTTGGGAGGATTGAACCTTGTGAAAGAAACAACCAGAAATACGATCAATTCTTCCATCTCTGGATTAGGGAGACCAGAGAGTATTTAAGACAAACAGCATACATTTTAAAAAATTACTCTTAAAATTTATTTGGAACTTAACACACACAAGTAGAGTGAGCGTGGTCATGTCCATTGTAGAACAGAAAAAGAGGCTTGTACGTGAAATTTCAGGTCTCTATTATGTAGTTGGCATCTCTTAAGTCATAGATCTTTCTGAAACCTCATTATTGCCAATGATGTCAACACCCTTTGTCACCATATTAAAAAGCAAACACTTTAAAAATGGGTTTATCAGCGGTCTGTATGTCTCTGTACAGTCTTCCTGTAAAATGTTTAAAGAACCCAACGTATTCTCAAAAGGCTCTCTTCTCGTGCTGGGGTGGGCGTCCCCAGCCACTTGGTGGGTTGTTGGAATTAGGGGGACGCCTGCTCTCCAGAGAAGCAGCTCAGCAGAGCCCATTCAGACTACCTGGGTAACCCTGGGAAAGTCACATGATTTTCATGAGCCTCAACTTCCTCATCTGTGCGGATGGGGATGGAATGCCAGTACTAACAATAGCACCTATCTCATAGGATTATTGTGCGGATCCAGTGAAGTAGTCTGCTTGAAGCGCTTTGTAAATCTTAACAATATACATTTGAGCTCATTATGACCCTCGGTCACCTCTAGTGGCCTCATGGGCCTCTAGCAGCTTAAAATAGCCATGCTCATGATATGCTGGAGACCCAGCTCCTCAGCTGTCTTTGGGCTCCCACCCAGGCCTTCTATTTTAAGGTGCACGGCCCCAGGGAATGGCCAGGGGAAATGATGAGCCAGGGTCCCTCCTCTGCTTTCTGTGTGCTCTTTCTCATGGATCTGGGTTGTCAGCGTCCCAGCTTTGAGCTTAGACTCCTTTGTGTATAAGTCTGGTTCTCACATGGCTGTTTTCACTCGGCTGACCCAGCGTCCCTTCAGACTCGGTGTGTCTAAAGTGAGCTCCTCCAGCTGGCTGCTCCTCTTGCTGTTGTTTTCACTGTGTGAAGAGCCTCACCGTTTCCCTAGTTTCCCATGTTTGAATCCTCAGTCATCTTTTTCAAAATTCTCCTGTCCCCAGTTTTTCCCAAGTCACCAAGTCCCGTCCTCTCCTTGACAGCGTGTCTTATATCTCCTTTCCTTTCATTCCTATTGATACCGTTTCATGCTAGCTCTTAACCCTCTTATACCTCAGCTGCTGTCAGCTCTACATGCAGCTTCCACATTAATTTTCATAATACACTGATTCTTTCCTCAGCGGAATGTTGTAAAAACATAACGGTAGCATAAATGAAAAGGTACATACCATGGAGATCTTTTTAGTGAATCATGGAGAGAGGATCGGGCTTGGGAGACAGGAGTGTTTTTAATCCCAGCTCTGTCCTCAGCATGGTGTAATGGAAACAGCATTAGGTTGGGAATGACAAGACCTGGGTTTCAAGCTTAGATCTGCTCCATGTCCACTGGAGAACAGTTGGACAAAGCCCTTAGCTGCTCTGGGCCAGTGTCTTCAGCTGTAACACTCTGGCCTCCCGTATCCTGATTTATTTTAAGTCAGAAGTGGGGTGGAGTGGATGGAGGACGTTTGTCTTGGGAAATACTCAGGTCCATACTAGCTCTAAGAGACTGTGATCCTTTCACTGATAGATATCCTCCCTTCTCCACTAAATTAGATTCAGGAATCATAGAAACTGGTGATCATTTGAGCTGGAAAAGACCTTGGAGAGATCTGCTGTGCTCTTCCTTTACATGTCTGCCTTTTGGCCCTGTGTTCTCTCTACCATACCACCACTTTATATGTATTGTTCCTCACCATGGGGGGCAACTTGGTCACTATTTATCAATTGACCAAAAGTGACCTTTTCCCCCACATGTCAATTAGAGAATTGACACTTGGTGATGGAAATAATACATTTAAATAGTCCTTAGCACTTGCCTCGCAACATCCCTGTGAGATGAATAAAGCCAATTTTTCATGAGAAAACTAAGTCTCAGAGAGGTTGTCACTTGTCCATGGGCCTATAGCTGGCACTTGAACCTAGCTCTCTTGACTTAAATATATTAGTAAGCATTTCGTTACATCATAATTCAGTGTCCATTTGAGGCAGTGAATACAGCAGACATTTATTAAGCACTTACTGCATGCAAATCTAGGTACCTTGTAGGTGCTGGGAATAGATGCAGGTCTCTGCCCTCCAAGAGTTTAGTCTGTTCAGTTGGACACCAGCATTGCCTGACCGGGGGTGGGGCTAAATAGAAATATCTGTAAGTTCGATGAGCATCTTCTTCAGTGTGTCTGCTGGTAAAGGTGCTAGTGAATAGCACTGGCATTAGAAATCGCGTATAGACCAGCAAGCGGAGGGAAAAAAAGAGAGAGACCTTGGATAATTCATAAGTGGCTCATTTCCTGAGTGATGGAACAGTATCGAAACATGAATTTCTCATGAAACATGAATTTAAAAAAAAAACCCTAGCTGAAATTGAAACAATTTACTGAAATTTTTAGATTTATTAATTTTTAGGCTATTTTAATTTTTTTTAAATAAGCAAGCATTTATTTCCCCCCCAACACACATATCATTTCAACAACAACAAAAGAAAACCTTTGTAAGAAATGTGTAATCAAGAAAAGCACATTTCCACGTGGGTCCTGTCCAATAACATATGGCCCTTTTTTGCGTTCTGAAGCTATTGCCTGCTCTTTGTCAGGAAGACTGGGTAGCGTACTTCTGTGGGTAGTCTTCCAAAGGAGAATAAGATGCTTCTCTGAGTTCTTACTCTGAGTTCTCATTTTGTAGTGTATGCATGTTGATAGTGAAGAGACTAATGTTTTTTTTTCTTGTTGCTACAGCTAGTATTTCTGGCTTTTTTTTTCCATTTTATTCCCCCAAAAGATTTGATGTTTTGGTTACCTTTTTTAAAATAAATTTTTATTGATAAGCTTTTGGATTTTTTTTTTGTATACCTATATTTCCCCAAGCTCTTCTCCTACTTCTCCCAAAGAGTCATCTTTTATTACAAAGAATAAAGAAGAGAAAAAAAAACAGTTCAGCTAAACTAAGTAGTCCATGCTCCGCCTGACTGACATTATCTGGAATGTTCTCTACTCATTGTCCCCGCCCCCCTTCCCCAAAAGGACTCTAGGCTTGTGGATTTAGGGACAGCCTGGAGAAGTGACGGGTCCAGCCCCATGTTTTCCACAGGAGGGGCCCAAGGCCCGAAGCTGCTGGGGCACAGTGGAGCTTGCCTCCCTAGCGGGAAGCTGCTGGCCGCTGGAAGTTGGTGCGATTCGGTTGTTCTGTTGTTGTTTCATTCCCCCTTCTTGGTGTAGTCACCGTGTACTTGGCCTTCCTCGCTCCTCTCAGAGTTATTTATTTCAGTAGGAAATTGCTGTGCATGCTACTTCAGGAAACTGTACATTTTCTGAAACAAATGTTTTTTCTCTTCCCAACATTCAGCCTGGTCCACTAAAAATTTCTAGTATGTCAGAAGTAATGAAAGACTCTAAACTCCAGAAACATAAAGGAGACACGCCAAGTTCTGCAACTAAAGAAGGTACTTATATTTTATCCTGATAGTTTAAAGTGAAGCAGAGAAATCAGTACGTAGATTTGATATTCTTGTACCCTTCTGTGAGGAGGAGAGTCAGCTGGTCCCTGCAGGTTCCCTCTCATGACAGAGACCAGGGAGATTCTCTCATGATCCCTTAGGACTCTTGTTGGGCCCCCGGCTCAGGTGAGGAGTGGGGGCCACGGAAGGAGAAGACCAAGTGCTGCCGGGCTTGTCTGGCTCACCAGAGTTCGGGGCTGCTTTGGGCTGCTTGCTTCTCCTCCCCCAGGAAACTGGCTTTCTTTCTCTTTCTTTCTTTCTTTCTTTCTTTTGATTTTTGGAGCCCATTTGCACCTGTTTGATTCTCTGCCCAGCTGCCTGCCCTCACACCTCAGCTCCTCCTGCTGCCAGTGCTCCCCAGGCCCTCTGTATTACCCAGTATTTACTTAGTTGGCAGAGAAGATGGATGCAATTAAGCTATATCTGGGAAGCCCTGAGATCACTGAACTTCCTAGGCTGTGGTCTTGTGATCAGAGTGGCAAGGAGTGCAGGAGCTGTCCTTCAGCAGAGGGTTGACATGGTAGGAGGCCTCCTCAGAGCTTACAATGGGTCGGTGTTTTGGTAAGGTTCATTTATGGTGTTTGAAACCTGGAAGGTGGTTTTAGATCATAAAACTTCTTCCTATCATGTTGCCTGTTTTTGTAAACCATCCTTCCCCCACCCCCAATTACCCATTTCTCCCAGCCTACAGCCCGACAGCTGCCTTCACTGGCACACCTGCCATTCCATTCTCTCCTGCTTCTCCTGTGGATGGACGTTCCCGCTAAGGAACACTCTCAATGCTTCTTCCTGCATCTTCAGTTCTCGATTGGGTTCATGTCTTTTAAGCAGTGCTTCTTAACTCGTCCATCTTCTTTGTGTTGCTTTTCACTCCTGGACTTACCTCCTTCCCCTTTCAAACCTTAATTTCTCTTTTTGATCGTCTTCCCTCCCTTCCTTCATTTGAAGCCAGACGGGATGGAAATGAAGAGAATCTGAGGTGCTGTTCCCCTTCCTCACAAGTTCCCCATTGGCCTCCTAGCCTCTGGCTCCAGTGTGCTTCTGTGTTCCTCTCTCTTCTGCCCACTATTTCACCCCCTTGATCTCATGTCTCCAGGCAGCTCTTCCGTTCTTCCCACCTTCCTCATTCCACATTCTTTTTGTCCATCTTGCCCTTGGGGACTCTGAATGCCTGACTCTGTTCATTCAGCCTTCCTCTGGGCACTGCTGTGAGACGCTTTTCCTTTCAGATGAACACAGACAGTCCTAGAGCTATGGCCACTTGACACATTTCTTCAGTGTCCTTTTCACTGTAAAGGAGCCCACAGTGAGGGGCATTTGTCTGGTTCTTCGAGTGCAGATTGTTCTGCCCAGACATTCCCTGTATTTGAAGATGCTTGCCAAATATGTTGATCGTGAATAGTTGCAGATATCTATGTGTTATTGACAAGCAAGGTAAATATGGATTTGCCTTGGCTAATGTATATTTGCAGCACCTACAGAAGCAGCTCATATTATTTCTGCACCAGGTGATGCTCCGTCCATTCCGTCTCCTGCTGAGCAGCGTGAAAATTTTGACCAAGTACCTCCGCTTGAACTACTCGAAGGAAAACAAAAGCCTTATATTTCAGGTAGTACAATTGTTTTTTCATTTGTCTCTTATGAATTCTAGCGTGCTTATGGAGTGGCTAGACACATTGGGATGGTGATAACCTCAGCACTCTTAGAAATGTGTTGCTTTTAAATGTTTGGTCCTCTTCTTGAAAATGCGGGGGTTAGCAGCCAGGGGACCTTCCATCTCTGCCTCTGGAGTGGTCCTGGGCAGAGTGAGGAGATGTGGTCAGAGAGCTCTTCCCTCGCTCCAGTCATAGAGTCTTCCATTGCTACAGCTAGCCAAAGACCTGTGCCCTGGCAGGTAGGAAACAGTGGTGTTTTAAGCCCCATCACGTGTGTCAGTTCTGCATTGAAATGTGCTTCCTTCTGTTCTGTTGCAAGAGGAGAGACATGTGCATGAAGCTTCACCTTCTAGAGCAAAGCGAGTCTCAGAAGAGGTTGCAGCTCAGCGGGTCCAGCAGGAAGCAGAGGAGCAGGACAGAGCAATCCAGTGTATGTGAACAACCCTAGCTCTTAAGTACTGGGGGGTCCTCTTTGGCCACTGCCTAGCCCGGGCTCACGTCTGTCACCGACTTTTCGGTTCCTTCCTTTGCTGGGGGGTAGGAGGCTGCCTGTCCTTGACGGCTGGGCAGTCTGTGGCCAGCTGGACTCTCTTTCGCATCTTCATTCCATCATCCCGGTTCTTACCATCTCTTCTTATCTCCCGGAAAGTGCCTGCCAGGCAGAGAGACGAATTCAAATTCAGGAAGAGCATTTGACATGCATGTCACATGTCACATGTGTACTCTTTTGGTGTGAGTCACTGAGTATGTAATATACGGGCCTCAGTTTCCTCAGTCATAAAGTAAAGAGATTGGACCCACATGAACTGTCACCACTATTACTAGCCAGCATTTGTAGAGTGCTTTAAGGCACAGTTTACAAATCTTTGTCTCATCTGATCCTCTCAATGATCCTGGGAGATAGGGCCTGTTATTCCATTTTACAGATGAGGAAATTGAGGCAGGCAGAGGAAAACTGACTTGCCCAAGGTCACACAGCTTCATAAGTGTCCGAGGCTGGATTTGAATTCTGGTCTGACTGCAGGTCTTACCCTCTCTTCACCATTCTATCTCTCTGTCTTTTTTGACCTCTCTGGTCCCTTCCATCTCTGAATCTGTGAACCTGTATGCCTGTGACAGCATTTGGTGCTGGGGATCAGAAGCCTTGTTGTTATTGCTGATCGGGAGAAGAGCTCACATTTACCAAGTACTTTTACCTTCACTTTCAAATTTAAGGCTCATTACCACCTGGTGATAGAAACAGTACAAGGATCTGAGGCCTGGAGAGTGTAATGGACTTGCCCAAAGTCACTTTCTGTTGGTGGGAATGAAGATCAGTGGCCCTGGCTTGAGAGCTAGGGCCCCCCCCCCACCCGTGGGGCTTCACACCTTTGGCCAGGGCTGCCACAGAGGGACTTTTCCAGATGATTGAGGCTTGCCCCTTTAAGTGAGAAAACTTGGAGAGAATTCTAATGCAAATCTCTACAAGCATGTCCTGTGCCTCCCTTGCTCATTAAACCAGAACCTGTAAAGCCTCATGAGCCGCCCCTGTGATCCTCAGGGGAGGCTCCTGGGCTGCGTTTTGGAGGTTTCCTGGCTGCCAGGGTGTCTGCCTGTGACACTGCCATCTCCCTTGCCCACCCTGTTCTCTCCCAGAGCCTGACTCCTGCCTGGTCTCCCTTTCTGGTTGTTAGAGGTGGCACCGGTCTGCTCAGGTTGTCACTGGGTATTGGTTTTGGATTTTCCAGCTCCTTTCTTTTCATCAGGAAGCCATCCCCAATCTCTGCTCATGCTTCCTTGCTTCAGATTTCCTTCTCATGGCCCTTGTTAAAAGGTATGCCTGTTGCTTTGGCGTCACGCGTGTTTCTGCTCTGAGGGCTTCATCCATCACTTCAGTCACCATTTAGTAAGCATTTTACTCTGTGCCATGCACTGTCCTGGGGGCTGGGGGCATTATGACACATAGGAGACTTCTCTTCTGCTGGGGAGGGCAAGCGGCAGGAGTGCTGAGGGTCCGTGTACAAAGTAATGCTGGGAGAGGGGTCCTCGAGAGAGGCCTGCTGCGTGTCCGGGGCCAGGGGATAGTGGATGGAGTGCTGGGCTTGCCCCGGGATGACCTTGGTGCAGATCTACATCTGTTAGACTGTGTGCCCCCTGAGAGCAGGACTGCTTTTGCTTTCCTTTGTATTCCCAGCATGGGGCCTGGCACACAGTAAACCTTTGTGCCATCTCTGACACTTACTGGTTGTGGGACAGTGGCCAAGTCACTTGACCTTCCTCACCTTCAGTTTCCCCGCCTGTAAAATTTGGATGCCTCATTGGGATGTTGTGAGACTCCAACAAGATAATGTCTATGAAGTTTGGTAGACCTTAAAGTGCTATATATAAATGTCAGCTGGTATTGTCCTTACATTTTCCATGTTAAATTTAAATTATTTATCCTTTTCCTTAAAAGGATCGCTGCTTGTTTAAGTTTGTACTTTTCTGCTGTTTCTGTGTCAGTTAAGCATGCATTCCTTTAAATGCTTCTTCACCCCCCATTTTGGGGTATTCTTACATCCTTTCCATGTTCCCTTAATGGCTTTTGGCAAGATTTTTCCTCTTTGCCTTGAAATCCTTTCCAAGACTTGTAAGTCCCAGAGCTTCTCAGGAACCCCAAAGAGGCTGGCACATTAATGATTAATAATTAATGTTCCTAATCTTTACATTATCTGTCTGTCTTTTCCTATGTACTTTCCAGGCCTGTCTCAAGTTGTCTTTTTTTGTGGTCTAACTTAGATCGTGAGTCAGTATATGGGCAGAATGCACTTTCTTATTGAGTATAAATTCAATCCAGAAAATATTTGAGAATAGTATCAGTCATTTTTAGCTGTGCCATCTTAGAGTATGTGGGGACATTGCTATCCTAAAGCAATAAGCAATAGGATCTTTTCTTTTTTTTTGTTTTTGTATTTTGCTAGGCAGTGGGGTTAAGTCACACTGCTAGTAAGCATCAGACGTGTGAGGCCGGATTTGAACTCAGATCCTCCTGACTCTAGGGCCAGTGCTGTATCCATGTGCTACCTAGCTGGCCCAGTAGGATCTTTTCTTAACTTAGCTGGGTCTGTGCTTTGAAACTTTGTAGAAAGAATTCCTCCTCTCCTCTTCTGTGCTTTTCCTCCTTTTATACAGTTTTTTCTTCTTCTGATGTCCCTTTGCTCTTAGGTTAGAGAATTGTCATTTTTATTAACTGTCTTTGTTTGGTAGGGGATATATAGATACATAGTGAGGTTTTTATCTTTTGTTTGTTTTTGCCTTTACGCTTGGTATTTGTCTGTTGACACCATTTCTGGTTGACTGTGATTTGGATTATCTCCAGTATTCTAAGTCACAGCTTCATAAGGACCAGAAATATTGTCATAGGGAAGCCCTTCAGGCGAGTCAGTGTGGGAGGGAAGAGAGGTCATGATGTCGTTGAAAAGAAATCCATTCCTCATGATGGGAGTATCCTGACAGTTTTAACTCTGGCTTTCTTCAAGCTCTGGCCAAAAGCTTAGAAGATTCTTTAAGCCACACAGCTCAGATCACTCTGCAGGCAATAGCTGCCCAGAACGCTGCCGTCAAGGCCATTGACACTCACTCAAGCAGGTTGAAGAAAGCAATGGACAGTCCAGAGGTAAGCCAGAGCTGTCGTTGAGATTGAATGGATTGAATAAAAAATCTGTCTTCTTTTAGCAAGAAGACAGCCGAACGCTTGTGTTTACATCGGGTGAAATCATCTCATTTCCTTTTTTTAGTCAACTTTAATGTCAGCGCAGTATTGATGATAGCCCACGTCCATAGAATGACAACATGCTTTGCCACAGAGTAGGTGCTTAATGAACCTTCGTGGATATGGATTGATGATCTCTTTAAGAGGGTTGGCTGGAAGTAATTCTTCCATGTCACGTTGCAGTGACACGTGCATTCCATTTTACAGTTTACAATTTAGAAATTACAATTATAGGGACACACCTATGATCCCTTTCCTACGCCAAGGTGTTTTAGTTTCCCCTGTTTGGAGTGTGTCTCTGTATGGCTCTTGGGCCCTGATGGAAGGGTATTATTTCCCCATAAAGATAAAGAGGACCATTTAAAAACAGAATGTTGGGGGAAGGAAAAGGACTCTATACATGTCTAAGGCATTGTACTCATCCTAGAGCGTGATGTAGTTAGGAAGCTATAAGAAGGCCTGGAGGGAAGCACAGTGTCACAAATCATAGAACATGTAGTTTCTGCTGTGGTATCAGGGTGCCCTCGGGGTTCTCCCGTGCCACGGAGTTAGAAGAGCGTCCTGTTTGGGCCTGGCCGAGGACTGTGCCTGGGATCTAAGGAGAACCTTTTACGACAAGGTTGGCTCCCAAGGGCGATTTCTGTGGTCCACAGTTTATTTGTGAATTGGCCTGTGCTGATGACAGCATACTTACCCGTGCTTACAGGGTGGTATTTAAATGGTTGGAATGAGTAGAGGGCTGCACACTCATTCAGAACCGTCCATTTAGCACGTTGGTGTCTTTGCCCATTCGGGCACTTGTTACTTCTTGTTCAAATCTGCCTAATGACAAAGATTTTGCTTCCTAGGTTGCAAATGGGAAATCGATGCAGTGGCGGTCAGTGGAGGATGCCTTGAAGGATCGCAGAAAGGCTGTTGATGAAGCTGCTGATGCCCTTCTGAAAGCCAAGTAATTCGTTACTCATTCTTTATCAAGGAAATTGGTCTGTGTAAGAAATTGGCCTGAAACTCCTGGTGGAGGATTTTAGATGAGGAACTGAGGTTTTCCTTGGATTGCTCCTTGGTTCTGTTACAAAGCTGAAATTTGCTATGGCTCTTCTCTGACCACATGGGCACGGGTGGGAGCCTTTTGAGCATACTAGACAATCAGAATTGTGTGTAATAGATTTATTTTTATTCAGTATGTTTTATTTGGACTCTATTGAAATAATTAACCAGGATCCTAGAAATTGGTGTTTCCTTCCTGAGAAGTGCAGCACACCAGCTGCTCTTGTCCTAAGACGCTCAGATAGTTGGGTGCATTTCTGGGCTGTGTGACCCACGTGCAGGGATATTGGAGTGGCTTCTGGCAGGGGCCAGGAGGACAGCCTGGAGCTCTAAGGTTCTCCCAGATCTGCGGCTTGGATTTTGTATGCCAGTGAAGCTCTTCCACAGGTGGCCTCAGATTCTCAGCGTCCATGAAGAATCCAGATCTGGCCCCAGATTTTGCCTCCTGCCTTGGTTTATACTCCATGTTGTTGTTCAGTCGTTTTCAGTCCCATCTGACTCTTCATGACCCCCTTTGGGGTTTTCTTGGCAAAGATACTGGAGTGATTTGTCATTTCCTTCTCCAGCTCATTTTACAGATGAGGAAACGGAGGCAAACAGGGCAAAGTGACTTGCTCAGGGTCACCCAGCTAGGAAGTGTCTGAGGCCGGATCTGAACTCAGAAAGAGGAATCTCCCTGGCTTCAGGCCTGGCACTCTCCTTACTCCGCCTCCTAGCTGCCCCATTATACTGTAAGATGATAGATTAGAAAACCTCATCAAGCACATCAGTGTCTCTTTTTGTAGGCTGCCACACAAGGCCCAGGGCGAAGCTGCCGGTAACCAAAGGCTCAGCAGTTGAGCCTCTCTGACCGGGAGACTTGAGCCCACTTCCCATGCAGAGTTCTCAGCAGTTTGATTAGCGTTAGCTGTGAAGTATTTACACTGACAACAGGGCAAGAGCACGTCAGTAAATGTGCGTCACACAGACCTGATTGTCATCCTGCATAGTGGAGAAAGCATTGAGAAGGTGAGGGGAGATCACAGCAGATATAATGGGTAAAGAGAATGAGTGACAAAGCCCTATGCACGTGGGGTCTCATTTGTCCACACGACAACCCTGGGCGGGTGGGTGCTGTTATTATTCCCATTTTATGGATGACAGAACTGAGGCAAACAGGCTAAGTGACTTGCCCAGGGTCACCCAGCTAGCAAATGTCTGCAGCAAGATTTCAGTTCCGGACTTCCAGCCCTCCAAGGCTGACACTGGGCTCCCTAAGACCTATTTTGATGGATCTGTGATCTCGTCACTGGGTACTCTCCATCAGTTCAACCTTTGTGAGGCGTGTCTGTGTTCTTCCATAAGTGTTCCATAGGGTGATCTAGAGACCACCTCTTTTTTTTTTTTTTAATCATCTGGGAGATGCCAGTGTGTCATGATACCTCCATTCTTGTTACATCCTAATAATTGTCTTTTAAGCTGTATCAGATGTGCAAGGTGTGTGAAGTAATATGATGAATCTGTATATACCCTCTGTGCACCTTGGCTTTGCCTTTGGGGTACCAATTTTGGTTCTTCTTACATCGTGGTATTTTATGTTTAGCCAAATATCATCATTAGGAAAAAAGCAGCCCTAAGATTTTGCAGCAGTGCCCAGCTTAAGGTCATTGAAAAATACTTTGAAATATTCGGCACAGTGAAGCGTCCGTCAGTCATGCCAGTCTGAGATGCACAGACTGAGGAACCAGCTTTGTAGGCAGCTCCCATCTGGCTACGTCATAGCACTTTTGGAATTGCTAGGGATGCGTAGAGGTGATACCGGTGCATTCTGGGATTCATAGTTATAATTTTAGAGAGTGTCAGAGACTGGAACACTCCCTAGACTAGAGCCAGAAACCAGTTAGAATCTTCACTACAGCCTAGCTGATAAAGCAGAAATCCAGTTGATGTTTGAAGACCTCTCCTGATGGGGACCCACCGTTCCCTCCAGCAACCCTTTCTCACTCTTAGACACCTGTACTGGTTAGAAATCTTTTCTCAGATATAGCTGAAATCTTTCCTATAACTTAAATGACTCCTGGTTCTGCCCTTTCACATCAAACTGAATGGCCTATCATCCCCTGCTTGGAGACAGCTCTTCTGGCCCCTCTAAGTGTCTTTTTTAGGTTAAATGGCCCCATTCTCTTCGGTAGAGCCTCATGGCATAACCTGGTGCCACTCACCCTCAGCATTTCCCTCCCAGCTTATCCATATCCTGCTTCACGTGGTCAGATCTGGGTAGGGCAGAGCGTAGTGGGTCTGTCGCTCATCTCCCTGGGCCTGTACGCTCTGTTTCTCCTCATGCAGCCTAAGATTGAATGAAATGTGTTTCGACTTTCCTGTCGTACCACGGACTCATGGAGCCTATGGTCCACCAACCCCCTGGAGTCTCAGTTCTGATGAACAACTGTCTACCCCACCTTGAGCTTGTAAATTGTACTTTAACCCAATTATAAACATTCATGTGCAGCTTTGTTAAGCATGCCATTTTTGCTTTTATCTAAGTCATCAGTAAGAATGTGAAGCAGTCCAAATAGCAAGCATGGATCCCTGGGAGCTGACATCAAAATATTAATGACTCCTGGGATGGGGGGGCCCATTCACTCAGCTTGTTCTGAATACCCCTAACAGTACTGTAGACTAGCACATCTTGTTGCCTTGTTGATAAGAACCGCTGTGTGACTGAACAGGATGCTGATGCTTAGCTCTCCCGTTCCCCTGATTTACCAGTCTGAGAATTGTGTTAAAAAGGGAATGAACTAAGAGTGACATGGAGCCATGGGAGCTCTCTGGAATCACTGCTTCTTTGATAGATGTTCATTAAACATTCCTTTAGTAATGTATTCTAGAGTTGGAGCAAGCTCACTGGCCTAGTTTGCAGCCTCCATTCTCCTTCCTGTCTTTGAAAATCAGGACATTTGCCCTTCAGCCCAGGGGTATTCTTCCACAGTCTCTTGGAGTTTGCTGACAATGGCTTAGCACTCACAGATTGAAGTTCCTACTGTCTGCTGACCTGAGAGGCACAGGCTTCCCCTTTTCATGATGGGGGATGAGAGTAGGTGCTGTATCGTTACTTTTGGATGTCAACGTTCAAAAAGACTGCTGTCTGTCTAGGAGGCCTTTTGGAAGGTTGCTGCTCAAAACATTTTTTCGAAGTTATTTGGATGTGTAAGTTGGGCTGTGTTTTTAAAACCAACTGTATCACTTCATACCTTGTGTGTGGCTGTACAGTACCATATGCTATCAGAAATTACTTTATTTGTAAATATTTTCCTTGGCCTAAGCTACTTTGAGGTTTTAGGTTAGTGCTATAGAATGTTCTTTTCACTCCCATACTCTTTTCTTTCTTTTTTTGAAAAAATATTTTTTCCCTAATTGTATGTAAAAACAATTTTTAACATCTATTTGTAAAAATTTTGAATGCCAAATTCTCTCCCTCCCTTATTGCCCTCCCCCTCCATTGAGAAGACAGACAATTTGATACAGATTATGTATGTGCGGTCATGGAAAACATATTTCCATATTAGTCATGTGAAAGAAAACAGACCCAAAAAAAGCAAAGAAAAATTTAATAGTTAAAAAAAAATGTGCTTTGATCTTCATTCATATTCCATCGTTTTTTTTCTCTGGAGGGTGATAGTATTTTTAATCATAATTTTGGAATTGTCTTAGATCTTTGTCTTGATCAGAATGGCTAAGTCTTTCATAGTTGATCATCATATGATACTTCTATTACTGTGTGCAGTGTTCTGGTTCTGCTCACTTTGCTGCAATTCATGTAAGTCTTTCCAGGCTGTTTTCTTTTGCTTTTGTTTTTGTTTTTTTGTTTGCTTTTTGGTGAGGCAGTTGGGGTTAAGTGACTTGCCCAGGTCACATAGCTAGTGTAAGTAGCAAGTGTTTGAGGCCGGATTTGAACTTGGGTCCTCCTGACTCCAAGGCCACCTAGCTGCCCCCTTTTCAGGTTTTTCTGAAAGCACCTTGCTCGTTATTTCTTACAGCACAGTAGTATTCCATCGTAATCATATGCCACAACTTGTTTAGCCATTCTCCAATTGATGACTATCACCTCAGTTTCTAAATCTTTGCCACCACAAAAAGAGCTGCTATAAATATTTTTTATACATATAGTTCGTTTCCATTTTCCTTTTCTTTTTTTAAATCTCTTTGGCATACAAATGTAGTAGTGGTATTACTCGGTCAAAGGGTATACATGGTTTTATAGCCCTTTGAACATAGTTCCAAATTGCCTTCAGGAATGGTTGAATCAGTATACAACTTCACCTACAGTGCATTAATGTCCCAATTTTCCCACATCCCCTCCAGCATTAGTCATTTTCCCTTTCTGTCTGTATTAGCCAGTCTTATAGGTATGGGATATTGCCTGAGAGTTGTTTTAATTTGCATTTCTCTAATTAGTAGTGATTTAGAGCATTTTTTCTTAGTACTATGAATATCTTTGATTTCTTCATTTGAAACTGCCTGTTCATATCCTTTGACCATTTATCAATTGGGGAATGACTTATATTCTTATGAATTTAACTGAGTTCTCCATATGTTTGAGGAATGAGGTCTTTATCTGAGAAATTTGCTGTAAATTTTTTCCCATTGTTAGCAGTACTAACAGTATTTCCTTCCACCCTGTTTTATATTTCTTTCTTATCCTATCCCTACTTAAGTGTTTTGCTTCTGACTAATACCTCCCCCAATCCACTCTTCCTTCTATCAGCCACTTCCCCCCTTCTCTTTCTCCTTTCCCCTCCTACTTCCTTGTAGGGTAAGATAGATTTCCATACCCGCCTGAGTATGTTATTCCCTCTTTGAGCCAATTCCAATGAGAGTAAGATTCAAGCTGCAGCCCCCCCATCTTCCCTTCCACTGTACAAGCTCTTTTGCACCTCTTTTATGGAAGATAATTTACCCCATTCTGCCTCTTCCTTCCCCCTTCTCCCATTGGATCCCCCTTTCTCACTCCTTAATTTTATCTAATTAAATATACATTTTTCCTGTGATGGATTATACTCAGTTTTGCTGGGTAGGTGATTCTTGGTTGTAATCCTAGCACCTTTGCCCTTCGGAATATCTTATTCCAAGCCCTCTGGTCCTTCGATGTAAAAGTTGCTAAGTTTGTGTTATCTTGATTGTGGCTCTACAATATTTGAATTGGGTTTTGTTTTTTTTTTTCCCTGGCTGCTTGTAATATTTTCTCCTCAACTTGGAAGCTCTGGAATTTGGTTTCCTGGAGTTTTCATTTTGGGATCTCTTTCAGGAGGTGATTGGTGGATTATATCTATATATATATATATATATATATATATATATATCTTGTATGTGTGTGTGTGTGTGTGTGTGTGTGTATGTATATGTGTATATATACATATATACATATTTTACCCTCTCCTAAGATGTCCAGGCTTTTTTTTTTTTAAATCATGACTTTCTGGTAGTCTAATTTAAATTTTTAACTTTTTAACTTCTCCTCACGCTGTTTTCCAGGTCAGTTAACTTTTTCCAATTTTACATTTTCTTCCATTTTTTTTTTCATTCTTTTGCTTTTATTTTATTGTTTCCTGATGTCTCGCGGAGTCATTAGCTTTCACTTTCCCAATTCTAACTGTTAAGCAATTATTTTCTTCTTTGAGTATTTGTACCTCCTTTTCCATGCGACCAGTTCTAGTTTTTATCAAGTTCTTCCATTCAGTGAATTTTTGTGCATCTTTTTCTATTTGGCCATTTCTGCTTTTTAAGTCATTTCTTCTCTTTAGTGGATTTTTGTGCCTCTTTTACCATTTGGCTTATTCTGTTTTTTAAGGTGTTATTTTCTTCAGTCTGTATGTGTGCGCGCGCGTGTGTATCCCTTACCAAGCTGTTGACTTTTCTTTTTTCATTTTTCAGTCAGTGTTGTGCCCACCCTGAGTAAATGCTTTCATTCTTCCAGGCTTTCATAAGGTATTCTAAGTATGTGAAGGTACTTTGTAGGAGAGGCCACCAGGTCAGTTTCATGCTCTAATGGATAGAGGGATTTAGGATGAAGTGTATGAAGTAGATTTTATCATCTTTAAAGAAGCTTGTTTTGAACTGCTTCTGTAGCTGACTCCGACAGTTATAACTCCTGTGGCTTCTTTCAGCTGACCATAGATGACCAAAATTGCCTGTGCCTTAATAGGCTGATGGCAGTCCGCTCAAGCTTCTGCCCTGAGTCTCACAGAAATCGTTTCTTGTACCCCACGTCACATTCCTCTGTGGTATGGGGCATTGTGTCACAGTGCAAATGTTCCCTTTTTTTCCCATGTCTTCAGAGAAGAGTTAGAGAAAACGAGGAGCATCATTGAGAATTCTAAGAAAAGGCCCAAGCTTGCGGGGGCCCAGACCCACATCTCTGCTGCAGAAGAGAATCTTCAGAACATGATCGTAGATCTGGACAATGTGGTCAAAAAGGTCAGTTTCCATTGTTTATGTCACTCAGCTGTCTGGGCTTGACCAGGAGAAGGCTATGATGCTGAATTGCGTTTGACCCACTCTCTTCACTCACCTAGAGTTTTATGCTGTGATAACCAGTCAAAGGGAAGCTGTTGATTAAAGAAAGGACCTTTGGATGCACATAGATTTGTTCTACTATTTAAGTTTCCTCCACTAATGGAGGTTATCTGGTCTCTGATTGAATTACCATTAGTGAAAAGTAAAACAAAAGAAAAGACAGGAAAACTTCCATGTTCTGTGTGTGGAGCCATATTCTGAGTTCACTGAATGACCTTAAATCACGAGCAATTCAGTGTGTAGGTTAGAGTGTCATTTAACTGTGATGAGACCTACATCACCTAAAGAGATAAAGATACACCTTCTGTTTTTAATGGATTATGCAAAGAGATCTCTAGTTCATCTCCTTCCACTCTCCATTTTTGCCATCTGCATTGAATGATTCCTCTTGGCTTGGAGAATGTGGAAGTGGGTAGAATTTAGTTGAAAACGATCCTTTTAATGCCGTGGAGGAAAAGATAGTTGGCAAAAAGATAGAAAGGACAAAATTTAGATCTCAGTCATTTTATTTGAATCACAAGGGCCCAGTTTAGTTCCTGGCACATAAAATGAACTTAATAAATACTTGCTGCTGGATTAATTTCATCTCTGTTGGTTGATTTCTCTCCCTCACCACAACCTCCAATCCCTGCACCACTCCATGCTCTCAGACCTTTGCACCTGCTCTGACTTTACTTCCATTCCTGCCCATGTAGTTAGCCATAGTAACACAACGCAGTCCTCTGCTATAGAATCTTTTGTGCCCTTGCGTTCATTCATTCTTGCTGGGCTTGGATTACTCCTGTCATTTTCCTCCTTCACTTCTACTCGCCTGAACGGAGCGAGCGAAAGAAAGGAACGTGGTGATGCTACCTGGATCATTACAGATGCACGTTCTACAGCTCCACCTGGGCCCTCACTGCAGCCCCCTCGAGCCAAGGTGGTCTTTCGATTCTCCCCTCATTGATTCCCTGTTGTAGTCCCCACAAAAGCTTTTCTGTACTTTTCTCCTCTGTTCCTTCACTCCCCCAGTTCAGCAGAGGGCTTCGTCTCTTATTTTACTAAGACAACTGAGGCCATTCATGTGAGCTTCCTCTTCTCCTTCTCTTTGTCATCAGTCATCCCTCATGCTCTTCTCAGGCTGATGACGAGGCACCTCTTCTCCTTACCAGAGTCACCCTTCCACACGCCCCGTCCCCCTCTGACTTCTGCAGCATGCTGCCTTTGTGCTGGTTTCTCATTGCCTCCAAACATGTCCAAGGGCTCCCCATGCCTCAGAAAGCCTTCACTGAAATCATACCCCCTTCTTAAACTCTGGTCCTAAACTCGCCTTCCTTTCCCAGCCAAACCACTTGAAACACTGTCCCTACTTGTCTCCTCCCTTGTAGTACCCCACGGCTGTTTGCAGTCTGGATTCTGACCACGTCGTGTGCCTGAACCTTCTCTGCAGTGTCAGTGATCTCCTTTTTGCCAAATCTACTCGTCCTTTCTCAGTCATCATCTTTGACCTCTGTTGGCCGCCCTCTTATCCCGTTGAGGCTTTGGTGACAGCCCTTCGTCTTGCACATCTATCTGACTGCTCCTTCTCCATCTCCCTGGCCACTTCATCACCCACATCGTGCCTCCTGGTGGTGGGGATGCCCCAAGGCTCTGTCCTAGGACCTTCTTTCTATGGTTTCTCTCTCGGTAACTTCAGCATCTCCTCTGGCTTCTGTGATAATCTCTGTGCCAGTAATGGCCAGGTCTGCCTGCCCGCCCCTGGTCTCTTCCGTGGTGATCCAGCATCACCAGTTGCCTGCTGGACTTTTCAGAGTGGATGTTCTGGAGACATCTCAGGCTGAACTATCTTCTTTCCCCCCAAACCCACCCTTCTTCCAGACTGCCTTCTTCCTGTTGGTTTCACCAGGTTTGCCATTTGGGTGCTCTCCTGACTCTTGCCTCCGATGCTGGTCATCAGATCTCACCATTTCCGCCTCTACCACGTCTCTCCAGTCCCACAGCTACTACCTGAGTTCAGGTCCTCATCTCCTCTCACCTAAGTTCTGGCAGTAGCCTCCCACGTGGGTTTCCTGCCTAACTTCAGTCTGCCCTCCACACTGCTGCCACTTTCTTTAGGTTTAGATTGGGCTATGTGCCTTCCCCACCCGACAAGCTCCAGTGATTTCTAGAATTCAGTGTAGACTCCTTTGTTAAAGCCCTTCCCACCCCTGTCCCTCACCCCCACCCCATCTCATGGTCTGTGTTACGCCTATTTTTGCACTCTGTGGTCTGCCAACCCTTCTTTCCCTTTCTTGTGTCCCTAGCATTTTTTTTTCAATTGGGGTTAAGTGACTTGCCCAGGGTCACACAGCTACTAAGTGTCAAGTGTTTGGTCTGAGGTCGGATTTGAACTCAGGTCCTCCTGACTTCAGGGCCGGTGCTCTATTCACTGCGCCACCTAGCTGCCCCTTGTCCCTAGCATTTTTTTTAACATTATTTTGTTTCTATTAATTTATTTTGATTTATCAACAATCACTTCCATATGGACCTCTTGTTCTTCCAAATGAATCTTGTTATTATTTTTTCTAACTCTATAAAATAATTTTTTGGTAGTTTGATTGTCCCTAGCATTTTGCAAAGTGCCTGGTAGGTACGCAGTAAGCATTTAATAAATGCCTGTGGATCGAGTCCTCCTAGAAGGCCTGTCTCCCTTCAGATCGCTCTCCTCCGTGAAGCCTCTCCCAGTCCCTTCCAGGCTGCCTTGCATTTAACTCCTTTGTCTGTTCATGTTTGTTCTGTCTGTGAATCCTCCCCAGCTCCGGCTAGCCCAGAAGCTCCTGGTGAGCAGCGATGGCTTCCCGGGATTGTGTCTCGGTGTCTCCCCCGGGGCCAGCTGCGTTGGGCATGCTGAGTCAGCGCTTAACGGAGTTCTCTCCTGTCAGTTAATGTCCCCGTGGAGCACCTGCGTATTTGACGTGCAGCGGTTCTCTTTGCTCTTTTTAAACATGAGACGCTTGCGTTTGTTCAGGTCCAGGCAGCTCAGTCTGAAGCCAAAGTCGTCGCTCAGTACCATGAGCTGGTGGCCCAAGCCCGGGATGAGTTTCAAAGGGAATTGAACAGCATCACCCCAGAGGTACTTCCTGGTTGGAAGGGGCTCAGTAAGTATCACTAGCAGACTGGGAGATTTTCTCAGAGTTCATTGTAATGGTGTTAAATCTGTGTGCTTTGGGGTCTGTTACTCCTGTTTCTGAAATACCAGATTTGGCCCTGATGCTTCTGGCAGTTGTCAAGATCTGCTCATGACGAATTCAGTGCAAGAAGTGACCTGTTGTTACCAGATGCCACTTTATTGGGCAGTTGGGGGTCATGGGGTTCAGTGTGCTAGGCCTAGGGTCATCAGAGTCACTAGACAGGTTTGGGTGAAGAGCTTGGCCTAGGGAGGGTCCAGACGAGGGACGTGTCCATGAGGTCTAAATGAGGTGACCTTGGACCGGAAGCTGGCCCAGTGAACATTTATTAGGTACCTTCTGTGTACAAGGCACTAAGGCATACAGAGACCAAAATGAAATGGTCTTCTCTGCCCTCCGAGAGCTTTGGGTCTGTGGGTGCCATTTGCCCATATCACATGTACACAGATAAGTAAACAGAGGAGGAAAGAGTGCCAAAGCCCAGAGACAGATGGGAGGCTTCACATCAGAGGTGGCACTTTGAGGGAAGATTAGGGTTCTGAGGGGTCCAGCCTGAGAGGAAGTAGGACTAGGAGATAGAATGCGGAGTTTGAGGAGCCGTGAGGTTTGGACTGGCGCGTGGAGCCCATGAAGGGGCTGATGAGAACTAGCTGAATTTTGGAGCCAGATGGTGAAGGACCTTGTGTGACAGGGTGGCCAGACACATGCCTCAGCAAGAGGCCGGGGGGGTCAGACTGATTAGAGAGGGGGGAGGCCAAACTCTGGGCTCAGAGCACTAGACCTGTGCCCAAATTGCCTTGCAGCAGCGTCTTTTTTTTTTTTTTTCGGTGAGGCAATCAGGGTTAAGTGACTTGCACAGGGTCACAACAGCTAGTAAATGTCAAGTGTCTGAGGCCAGATTTGAACTCCCCAGAGCTCACCCTCAGAAACATACCTGACATTAGTTATCAGTGGGAATGGCATCGAAGGAGGTACATCGCCATGTGCTTTGCCACTGGCCCTGAGGACCACGGGGCCTTTCTAGCTAACACCTCTCGCGTGTGCTGTTTCCCCAATTAAAACATGAAGCCATGAAGAGCAAGGGCTGATTTGTTCTTTTTCTGTTCCTAGTGCTCATGCATTCATTCAGGGCTCCCTTCCTGGTTCCCTGTCTCATGCAGTCGGGAATAAACTGGATATTTCTGACTCACCATATTCTTTGTTCTTCTCTGATCTGTGTAACTCGAATTTATCCTTCTAGAATTTAGCTGTGTAGGAAAGAGTGTAGACACTCCTTCCATCAGCTCATTGGAGTGTGATAGAAAAGCATCTAAAAGATGCTCTCCCAGACTCCAGGATGCTTATTTTCAGTGAGAGCTGTTCAGCAGTGGGATGGGTGGCCTCCTATGGGCTAGTAGGTTTCTCCCTAACCGGAATCTTCTGGCAGAGTCCGGATGACCATTCTCAGGTGTGCGATGGTGGCGAATTCCTGAGGTTTCTCCTGCCCTGAAATTCTGGGATTCTGTCTTCTTGAGAATTGAATAATTAATTAACAGTCCTCTCTCCCTCTAGAGCCTTTGCAGGTCTAGAAGCCTGGTGTGAGGGCTTCCCTGCCCGGCTCCCCTGGGCAGTGATCAGTGGTGCGTCTCCCTGTGGAGGTGGGGGAGGCAGGGTGGTGCCTGTCCCAGTGTGCCCTCTCTCTTTTCTTTTTGCCGTTGACAGAGGTCCCTGCAGTTCTGCTCATGGATACACAAGCGTCCTGTCCCTCCCTTCCTCCTCTCACCTTTGACCCCCGTCTCAGGAAAGTGTTTCTCCTTCTGTCCCCATTTATGGGCCACAGATGACACTGTTGGTGACTGATAAATAGAAGCAGCTGTTGGGAGCGAAGATTGTTGTGGCCTGGAAGGGTTCAGGAAAACCTCAGGAAGGCTGTATGGAGGACCTGGTCCCAGGCCTGAAACTAGATGAGTCTAGAAAAGGAGGGAGGGGACGAGGGACTTGCTGAGTCCATTCTGGGGGGTTCGTGCTGACGAGTTGTGGCAAGTTAGGCTTAGCTTGGTAAGGGGGAGCCAGGTGATGGGGGGTCTGATACAGGAAGCTACAGAATCTGCATCTTTCCTCAGTATCCATTCTTCAAGGCCCAGGTGAAGGTGTATTGTGCTTGGCCTGCAAAGATTGAGGCAGGCCCTTCTCTGCTGGGGGAGACAGCGAGTGCATGGAAGAGTGGATGCGGTCTAAAGACAGAGTTAATAGCTGCCACAGTAAGTTAGGGGGTGGGGGTAGCTAGCAGCTGAGGGGTCTGCAGGGGCTTTCTGCAGAAGGAAGAGAAGGCACTCTGAGGGAAGGTTAGGGGGAGGGCAGTCCGGGCCTGTGGGCACAAGGGTAGGAGCTAGAGGGGCTGATGGGAGCCACAGAGAGCCGAGCCTGTTTGACCATATTTCAGAGTGACCAGGGAGGGAGAGACAGGAGATGTTCTTAAGGCAGAAACGGTGAGATTTGGCAGCTGATGCTATATGTGAGCTGAAGGGGAGTGAAGGGTCAAGCTGAAGGCCTCTGGTAAGAATCTGGGAGCCTGGAAGGACGGCAGTACTCCTGACAGAAACTGGGAAGGTGTAGGGGAAAAGACAGTGAGCCCTGTTTTGGATATTACGAGTTCAGGATTTGTCCAGGCCATCCAGTTTGAAATGTCCAGTAGGGAGCGGGTGTTGTGGGACTAGAGCCAGGGGAGAGATGTGTAATCATCCCCAGAGAAGCCCTAGCTCACTCCTGGGAGCTGCTGAAGCTGTCATGAGCTGGTGGAGAGGACCCTTCAGGAGCACTCATGTCATTTTCCCAGCGAGATCACAAACGTGGTTGGAGCGCATCTTCATTTCTTTCTCTGTCCCACCCCAGATCACGGCTACTCAGCATCTCTTCAACTCTCAGTGAAGGCATGTTTTGGGGGCCTGGTTTCTGTAGGTGATGGGACTCCACGAAAGGTGTTAAGCAGAAGAACTGACGGCCTCAGGGCCATTTTAGGAATGTGAATCTGTCCGTGGCACATAGTGGAGAGAGGGCGTCCCCAAGGCTGCTGAGGGAGCACACCAAGTCTGACGTGATGGTCGGACTGGGCCAGTGACATTAGGAAAGAAAAGGAAGGACAGTGATCCTTGAGAAAGGTCTCAACTGAAATCTAGAGAGGGCAGGAGGCATGGGTATCTTCATGTCCCTGCAGTAGGAAAAAAATCCCTTTCTTAAATATCAGAAATTGTATGTGGTGCCCGGGACAAATCAGGCCTTCTGAGTGAAGATTATGGGTTTGAGAGCCTGTTTTCTTCAGGGCATCCAGTGAAAGTGAATGGGATGAGGCTGTTTGCTGTTCATTTGTGTGGCTAACGCAGGCTTCCGTTTCCTGGGGGAGATTGAAAACTCCAGCAAATTCAGGCACAGCATTTACTCTGTCCTTGAACAATCATTTGTGCCTTTTAAAACAGTTGGCTTAGTCGTGATAGTATTGTTCTCAGTCTCGTGAAGTAGTAATTGAGGGGAGGTACTTTGTCTTAATTAATACTCACTGCTTGCACGTAATAGGGGTCAATAAAACTTGTTGAGGAAAATGAAGGAAAAGTAACACAAGAAGAGATAGGCAAATGGATGGAGCTGGTTCAAATTCTGCCTCACTTAATAGCTATGTGGCCTTCAGCTGTCACAGAATCTCTTCCAGCTTCAGTCTCCTTGTCTGTAAAATGGGGATTATAACAGCAACTACCTCTCATAGAATTGTTGTATCAGATGAGATAAAATATGTAAGGGCAGCTGGGTGGTGCAATGGATGGTGCTGGACTTAGAGTCAGGAAGATAAGTGTTCCTGGGTTCAGATCTGGCCTCAGCACATATCAGCTGTGTGACCCTAGACAAGTCACTTCACCCTGTTTGCCTTAATTTCCTCATCTGTCAAATGAGCTGGAGAAGGAAATGGTAAAGCACTCCAGTATTCCTGCCAAGAAAATCCAAACTGGGGTTGCTATGAGTTGGACATGACAGAAAAATAACTATGAGGCACTTTGCAAACCTTACAACACTAATATACATGCTAGCTGTTAATAATTAATTAGTAGTAAGGCTACTCCTCGGAGGCACACCGTTTTTGGGTTTTCTCTTTGTATGTACCTCACTTAGTGTGCTTTGTACAAGTGGTAAACACCTAGTAAATGGTTGCCGAATTGAAATGCAGTTGATTCTATTTTAAAATAACAATGAGGAAGCCAAAACTATGGTAAAAGTGAGGTGTTCTTGGTGTGCTTGGGAGGACTTTGTTTTTTAAAAATCCCATTTCTTGAGTAAGGGAACAAAATGAGAGAACTCTAATTGAGAATCTTCATTTTTATAGTGACATCCCTATAGAGCTCAATATCTTTTTGACAAAACAGCAGTTTTTCTGTTATTTCATATATAAAACAACTCAGTCCAAAAGGTAAACTTTTAACAAAGGTTATTTCTGCAATAACTAAAAAAGTTGATCTAGAACTGACCTTAATGATGTAAACATTTTAAAAAGTCAGAGAGTCTCTGAATTGTTTTAGAATGTGCAGATCCATCAGTGGCACTTCCTTTTGCCTTTTACATACATTCAATAGTTAATTTGTTGAAATGAACATGCTGCATTAATTTTTCAAAATTTTCCTTTCTTTTGCAGAGATCTCAGATTTAGGTGAGTAATTCAGTATTTTGGAATCTTTAAAGACCTTAGTTTAAAGACTGAAATTACCTTCAGAAAAACTCACTTTGTTCTTAGGGCTGACCTTGGTTCTAAGTCTCATTTGGATGTTCTGGAAATTCATGAAGGCCTCATGATAACCCTGCTCTTCAGATATCCAGGATCATCTGGGTGGCAGCAAAGTCCATTGATGTGTTTACTAGGGGAGAAATTTGGGTTTTCTTCAAGGTTGTGGAAAGAGGGAAGGGAAGGCTTTTGGCTGGACTTGTGGGTTCTAATCAACAGTGTGGATGAAAGAATATATGAAGACAGCTGCCATTCTGTAAACCTTTGTATCTGGGAAGGTGTAACGTGAGCTCTTGGAGAATGAGCCAGAAAGCCACCCAAGATGGATGGGCTGGAATTCCCGTCCAAGAAGCACCACAGGCTTATTGCTCTAGAGCGGGGAGGGACCCCAGACCCAGCCCTTGTGGCACTGATGAGGAACCAGGTTCCGAGTTGTGCTGCACCTTGTTTCAGGACATTAGCTGCAAAGTGATAAGTTGAAGCCACCCTGTAGCCCCCTTTTTTGCATGTGAACTTGCTCACCTTCCCTCAGGGGCTGATCCTGAGAACTTCTGTTAGTTGTGAAGCTCATCTTCCATGGGCCATTTCACATTTTCCCTGTTTAGCTGAGCAGCTGTCCACCGACGATCTCAACTCCCTCATCGCGCACGCCCATCGCCGTATTGACCAGCTAAACAGAGAGCTGGCGGAGCAGAAGGTCCGGGAAGAACAGCACATCGAGGCTGCCCTGGAAAAGCGGAAGCTGGAGGATGAGAAGACGTTCGAGTTGGCTGTGGCCAAAGCGTTGGAGCATCACAGGAGTGAGATACAGCTGGAGCAGGACAGAAGGGTACGAGGCCACGGGGGCGGGAGTGTAGATATGTAGCTATCTAGAGATAGAGATATACACACACACACACACAGCTAGCTCAGAAATGGTTCAGGGCTCACTGTTTTTGTCTGGACATGGATAATACCAAAGCTCCGTGAACTCTATGAACATTAGACTTAGGAAGGCCTTCGATTGGTGGCCAAGGAATCGCCTCAGATGCTGGCTGTGTGGCTCTGGGCAAGACACATAACCTTTGCCTCAGTTTCCTCATCTGTAAAATGGGGATAATAATAATAATAATAGCCATCCACCCATCCCAGGCTTGTTGGGAGGATCAAGTGAGGTAACTGAAAAACTCTTTGGAAACCTTAAAGCCATCTCTTAATGCACTTGTTACTTTTGGGTTAGGGCTCATCCATAAGTGCAGGCACCTGCACAGTGTCGGGAGACACATCGCAGCCTGATGCTGGCTGGGGGTTTGCCTTTGCTTTCAGGTTTTTGTGTTTGGAGAGCTAGGACCTGCTCTGTGTCGTATCCACATCCAGTCCTTTGTAATTCCTTCTCTCTGATCAACAGTGTTAGTTGGCCTCCTCTGTCCTGTGATTGAAAAGGTGGTGGCTCATCACAGGATCCTTTGTCCTAAAAGGTTGGTGACAGCATGGTCATCCTCCCGGTGGGCTTGATTTTACAGGTTGAAGAAGTCCGAGATATGATGGAAACGGAAATGAGAACCCAGCTCCGGCGACAGGCCGCTGCCCACACCGACCACCTGAGAGATGTCCTTCGGATCCAGGAGCAAGAGCTCAAATATGAATACGAGCAGGTGATGTCCCTGGGGAGGGCTCCCATGGCTTCCCTCGATGGTCAGTGGGCTCCTTTATAATTCCTCTGGCCAGTGTGGGTGTGCGTTGGGAGACATGAGGCTTGGGATATTCTGGGGGAAGACAGTCAGAGATGGGCTGGTTTTTTTTTTTTTTTGGTGAGGCAGTCGAGGTTAAGTGACTTGCTCAGGGTCACACAGCTAGTAAGTGTTGTGTCTGAGGCCGAATATGAACTCAGGTCCTCCTGACTCCAAGGCTGGAGCTTTATCCACTGTGCCACCTAACTGCCCTTGGCTGGTTTATTTTCAATGCGTTGTTGCTTAAAGAGGCTGATGCTCCCTTTTGAAAGTGCTTCTGGTAATACAAGTCCAGGGCTATTTCTTTAGTAGAACAGCAAGCTCACCGTTGAGGCTCTGCTGGGAGACCCCCAGCCCCTCCTGAGGCACCTCTTGGTGTTTCCTTATCCTCAGCCTAAGTCTCCTTCTCTTTGACTCCTGTTCATTGGCCTTACTTTGGACTTTGGTGGCCAGTCCGTAGCAGATGGTCCCTTGACCCATTGGAAGCCTCGGGGCCCCCTCTCGTCCCCGCTGCCCGCGTCGCTCTCCTTTGGCTGGAATGTCGCTCACCTGACCCTGTGTCCAGGGGACTCAGCACCATGCTTGTTCTGGACTCCCCAGTCTCCACATGACTGGTTGGGGCTTTGGTGGGCGTGGGGGCTCCTGTCAATGCTGTTCTTGTTTTCCTTGTGTGGTGGGGACTTCCTCTCCTGCGAGGTGAGGCATGAGCCAGAGTCCACACCTCCTCCCTTTCCCTGTGCAGCTCAAGGGCATGTGGAAGGCTTGGGCTTGGCAGCAGAAGGCCTGAGTTCAGATCTTGCCTCACACTCTCATGGCTGCTCTCAGCCTTGGGGATGCCAGACCTGAAAGCTCCTGAGAAACGCTGCATAGTACTGTTATCATCTATTATCTTCAAATGCTCTGTAAACCCCACTGATGGGGCAGGGTGGGGCAGCCAGGATGTAAGGAGGTGATGGAGAAGACAGTACGAAGGGTGCGTGCCGGGGCTTCCCTACCAGGCCACCCTGTCGCGGAGTCGCGGCTACTGCCCCCAGCCAGCAGCACGTTCGGAGTCCCCACCTCCTGCAATACGTTCTAGGTGTTGCTTTTCTGGACAGGCTTGCCTGTTCTTCCCGACTCGTGGCTCCTGCTGTCTGCAGGGCCAGTCCCTCAGTTTGTTGTGCCATGACTTGCCACTGTTGCCACTGGCCTTGGGGACGTGGTGTCCTTGAGCGCAGCCTCCTGCCTGGCCCGCCGCCAAGGTTGGGGGAGGGAGGGAGGGACTGTGCGGGCTGACACCCTCATGTTGGGGTCTTGTATGATTGTTTCAGGGCATGTCTGAGAAGCTCGCAGAGCAGGAGTTGCAGTTCAAACGCCTCAGTCAGGAGCAAGTAGACAACTTCACCCTGGACATAAACACGGCTTACGCCCGGCTCCGAGGGATCGAGCAGGCCGTCCAGAGTGAGTGGCACGGCTGTCCACCAGGCTCGCCGCCAGCATCCTGGGCACAGGGCTCCGGGGCATGGGGGGAGAGGGCAGAGGCCAGAGAAGGAGTGCTGGCTTTGGGGTTATTTGCCTCTGACTACCCCTTCCTCTGTGCCCTTGGGCTGGGTGCCTCCCCCATAGCAGGAAGGGCTTGGACCAAAGAGCCTTTAAGTGTGTGACCCTGCTTTTGTGGTGGGTGCAGAGGGCAGGCCTCTCTCCCCAGTCCTTCCCTCGCTGACCAAGGCTTCTCCTCCTTTCCCCCACAGGTCACGTGTTGGCCGAGGAGGAGGCCCGCAAGGCCCACCAGCTCTGGCTTTCGGTTGAGGCCTTGAAGTACAGCCTGAAGACGGCCTCGGCGGACAGCCCCACGATCCCGCTGGGCACGGCAGTGGAGGCCATCCGCGTGCACTGCCCGGACGAGTTTGCCCAAGCCCTGACCGCGGCCATCCCTGCTGAGTCCCTGACCCGCGGCATCTACAGCGAGGATGCCCTGCGAGCCCGCTTCCAGCACGTCCAGAAGCTGGCGCGGAGGGTGGCCATGATCGACGAGACCCGGAACAGCTTGTACCAGTACTTCCTCTCCTACGTGCAGTCCCTTCTCATCTTCCAGCCTCAGCAGCTCAAGCCCCCGGCCAAGCTCGTCCCAGAAGACCTGAACACATTCACGCTGCTGTCTTACGCCTCATACAGCATCGAGCACGGCGACCTCGAGCTGGCCGCCAAGTTTGTCAACCAGCTGAAAGGGGAGTCGCGCCGGGTGGCGCAGGACTGGCTGAACGAAGCTCGTGTGACCCTGGAGACGAAGCAGGTCGTGGACATCTTGACCGCGTATGCCAGTGCCGTTGGCATCGGGACCACCCAGGTGCAGCAGTGAGGGCGCGAGGTCCGGGCGCCGTTTGTCCCGCTCTCTGTACGTACACTGTTGTCTCTTTTGGAAGGTTTGCAGCAAGGCTCCTGGGGGTGGGGCTAAGGGCGGCCACCTGTCCCCGTCACCTGCCACCTGCTGCAAGCTCCCTGTTTCCAATTACTATCATGTCAGCCAACTCCAGGCACTTTTCACACCTTGTGTAGCATTGGATGTTTTCAGGTTTTACTGATGGGGCTTTCGATCCAATCAAGGTAATGTTTGTGATCCCCAACCACTATTGATTTGGCCACTGAATAAAACACAATGAAAACGTCTGAGTCACTTATGTCACTTCCCAGAAAGGCCCTTCCTGGCTTTCATTTGGTGTGTGAGAACGGGGGGTGGGGAGGGGGAGACATGGTGAAGTTGTGTTGTCACTGGGGGGAAGGCGGCTCTCACAGGCAGTGTCTGCTCCTTGCTGGAATGGGGTCTTCAGCTTCCTGAGGTTGGAAACTGCATTTTGTGAGAGGTTAAGCACTGAGCTTATAAGGACTCACAAGACAATTGATTATTCCAGTTAGGATTTGCTTTCTCAGGTGTATTTTATCCCAGGAGCCCTCATGTTCCTTACCTAGGGCTCCCCCTGTTCTGGTGTTCAGGGTGGCTGAGAAAATCTGAATTTCTATTTTACATGAAAAAGAGAGGCAGGCAGCCTGGGCTCCTGAATGTCCCTGCACAGCTCCCCAGGATTTTAAGTCTCAGAACAGCCTCCGATCTTTGCTGGTCCATGTGTTGCCTCCCCGGAAATCCCAGGTCCTGTCCCCGTCTCCAGATTCACATTGGGTTGCATCGGGGTGTAACTTTGAACAGGAAACACGTCATGCTGACCAGCTGGAGATCTAGGGATGCCAGCCGAGACACCCACAAAGCTCCCCTTTGTGTCCCTTTCTCAAAGAGCTCCTGGTCCTCCGGGGAGCCCCTTGGGTTGGGTCACTGTACTGCTTCCTCGTACCATCGCATGCTTCAGTAAAAGTGGGGCACGGCATCGGGAGGAAGGAAGCTCTTCCAGAGCCGCAGCCCCCTCCGACTCCTTCAGCTCGGCCGGCCAGACGTGCTTGGCTGGCACAACTTTGGGCCCAGGCCACAGGACAGGAAGACTTGGGACCAGCTGCCCCTGTTGCTGGCTCAGGATTACAGAGAGCACTGAGGCATCCCTGCCTGCCTGCGTTTCATTTCCTTTAGCTCTTCCCCTACTCCTCAGGTTCTTAGCCCTGCTTCTGGTCTCTGAAGGAAGAAATTCCTTTCCTCCATGCTTCAGGTCCCTAGGCTTCTACTCCTTTACTCTGACTTGGGACAACCTGTCTTTTCCATAGAATGGAAGCAGGGACTGTTTTGTTTCCACTAGCACCTAGTCCGTGCTTAGGAAATATTTGTTGAATTCAGTGTCTGCGCCTGGGTCTTTAACTGTCCTGGATAATAGGCAATCCCCAGCTGATTCAGTTCACCTTTCAAAAATTCATTTGTAACTACTCATCCTGTCTGATCTCCCAGAGTGAAAATAATGCTTGAAAACACTAGTTCTTTGATAATACAAGAGTAAAAAGTCTTGGTTTTAAAATGATTACTCACATGTGCAAAGAGTGCTGCATTTTGAATGAAATGGTCTGAATTGGAAATGGAACACTGCTTGGGAAAGTTAGCTGACCTCTCTGTAGGGGAAGGGGTGAAACATATGACCTGCCTGACAGCCGATCCTGGTGCTAAATCTGATCTTCCTGGAAGGGCAGAAGCTGACACTGGTCTGTCGATGGTTTTATAAAACCAGGTTCAGCCTTATTTCACAGCCGATGGCAAACATCCCCTCCTTACCCTGCTCTCCGTAGGGCATAGGTAAGGCTGACCTGGCAGCATGGCCCTCACCTCCCTTAGTGCCCTGTGCGGATAGCCCCACTTCCTTGGTCATTGGTGGGTCAGTGTGGGTCAGGGGCTGTGTTGTTACCCAAAGAGGAAGGAGCAGGGGAGGGGGTGTGTGAAGCAGTGTGGGTCCTTTAAGCTGTAGCTAATAGTTGTATTGTCCTCTTGTAGGAGGAGGGGAGGGCGGGACAGCTCAGAATGGGTGGCAGAGCTTGGGCAACCCAGGAACAGCACCTCATCCCCCACCCACGGGGCCTTCAGGAGCTTTGTTCTGAAGGGTGACTATCAGTTTCTGCACTGCCTTCCTGGCCTACTCTAGCAGAGTCTCTCCCTGCTCCTTGTGCCTGGCCATCTTGCCCTCTGCCTCACCTGTTCCACCTGGGGTGTTTATCGTCCGCCCTGTACCCCTCTACTCCTTTTCTACCCATGTTTTTAATGTTGAGGATGACCCCCATCCTAGACTCATGCCTTACATTTGAGCATCCTGGGTGTAGGGGAGAGAACTGACCAGAATTCCTGGCAGCCACAACCCTGGGCTCTTCGCAGCTGTGTAACCCTGGATCACCCACAGCCTCCGCTTCTTCATCAGTTCATCGAAGATCATCATACTTGCTCCATACCCATCTCACCATGAGCTTGTGAAGAAAGCCCTCTGAATGGGAGTCACCAGGCGCATGAATTCATGGGGCTTGAAGGCTTCACCTCCTGACTGTAAAGAGCTGCTTTGAGACCTGGGTTGAAGTCTGTTCTGCCACTAACTCTCACCACGTGAAGTTTTTTTTTTTCCAGGCAATTGGGGTTAAGTGACTTGCCCAGGGTCACACAGCTAGTAAGTGCCAAGTGTTTGGTCTGAGGCCACATTTGAACTCAGGTCCTCCTGACTCCAAGGCTGGTGCTCTACCTATTGCACCACCTAGCTGCCCCACCACCGGGTGAGGTTTCAGAAGCAATTTAATTTCAGCCCGTTTTTTTTTTTCAGTGTAAAATGAGAGTTTGGCCTATGATCTAGAAGGCATGGCAAAAAATGCTAGATTTGGAAATTTCGAACCTAGGTTTGAATCTACTCTCTGCCACTTATTACCTGTGTGACTCGATATAAGTCAGTGCTCCTAAGAATCTGTGCACAGAGTATCATGATAGGATGTGAGGGATGCAAAGGGAAAGACCCTTTGCACAATCCTAGGGCTGTAATAGCACTTGGTCCTTCTCTTGGCTAAGTCCTTTTACAGACAATGCATTTGAGTTCCCTTTGCTGGGGTGCCAGGGAGGTACGTGAGCCAGACTTTGGGGGAGGGACCTGGAAAGCAGGGGCATGACAGTGAAAGCCCATGGGTCCCCAGGGCTCACTGCTGGCTATAGAGTCAGCATTTCCCACCTGGTTACTAGCCACTTTCCTAGCTCATGGGATTCTAGCCACATTTTAAGATGTTGTTAGTACCCATCATTCCTGTTCTTTCCTTTGAGAAATTCCAGAGCGACTGGGCCAGTCTCCCAGGCTGTCACTTCATCACCACTTGCTGCTGCTTGACCCACCTTGCTGACAGCTTCCCAAGGTAAAGAGCAGCACTGAGTCTGGATTTGCTTACTGTTGAGTGGGTCTGCACAGCTGTGGTTCAAAGGAATGGGTAAGAGGTTTGCTTTACATGTGATGTCCATATCCCTTCCACTTCCCTCTAGTATCTGACCCCAGGCTATTCATTAAACCGTATGCCCCTCTCCTCCAGTTGTCCCAACATTGAAGCATCCCTCCTGGTTGTTTGTCCTCATAACACAGACAGCAATCACGCATCTGCATCTGGTTATCTCTATTATGGCTTCTGCCCCGATCTGGGCCGAAGGGGGCTCTAGGCAGACACTGTTCATCCCGATTCAGGCCCATGCCCTGTCGGCAGCATCCGTAATTCTTCCTCAATATCCTCTTCTGTTCCTTCCTTAGTCCAACCCAGATAGCCAGTAATCACTCCTTGGGGTTGTAGCCCTAACTGTTCGATGGCAAGTCATCGGGGGAGGGGGAGAACAGCCCTTATTGCTCCCCCTAGGCAGCATGGCACACTGTCCAGTTCTGTCCTTGGTCCTGATCCAATTCTGCCCAGCTGCTCACCTGCAGCCCTTAGACATTTAACCCCTCTTGCCTCAGAATAAGTTGATTTATGTGTTCTTGTTACTTTTTAAAGATAAAATTTGGCAGAAGAATGAATGGGTCTTAGGTAGGAAGAGAGGGACAGGATGACACCAGCAGTGGGGAACCAGTCAAAGCAAGGCAGGACCCCGTAGGAATAGAGGCAAGTACAGGATCTTATGACCTGGAGGTTGAGTGTAATAGTGCTATGGGAATATTAATGAATGTGTAGACTTTTCTTTCCCTCAAAAGGTGCTCCCACTACAATTTTTAAAAAATTATTTTTAGTTTTCAACAATCACTTACATAAGCTTTTGAGTTTGAAGTTTTCTCCCCTTCCTTCCCTAAGACGGCGTGCGATCTGATCTAGGCTCTACATATACATTCCTATCAAACATTCTCACATTAGTCATGTTGTAAAGAAGAATTAGAGCCAAAGGGAGGAACCACCAGAAAGAGGAAACAAAACACAACATAAGAAAAAAAGTAAATAGTACGCTTCAATCTGCATTCAAACTCCATGGTTCTTTCTTTGGATGTGGATAGCATTTTCCATCTTGAAACTTTTGGAGATGTCGTAGATGCTTGTATTGCTGGGAAGGGTTAAGTTTATCAATATTAGTCATCACACAATGTGGCTGTTACTGTGTACAACATTCTCCTGGTTCTGCTCACTTCACTCAGCATCAATCCTTACAAGTCTTTCCAGGTTTTTCTGAAGCCTGGCCGCTCATCATTTCTTACGCAACAATTGAATTCTACCACATTCATATACCACAGCTTATTCACCCATTCCCCACCAGAGCTGCTATAATATTTTTGTACATGTGGGTCTTTTTCCCATTTTTATTATCTCTGGAATACAGCCCTAGAAATGCTATTGCTGGGTCAAAGAGTATGTACATTTTTATAGCCCATTGGGTATAGTTCCAAATCACTCTCCAAAATGGTTGGATTAGCTCATAACTCCACCAACACCACATTAATGTTCCAATTTTCCCACATCTTCTCCAACACTTATCATTTTCCCCCACTGACAATTTTCTAACAAAGCAAATACATGTGAGGCAGCAGGGTGGGACAGTGGATAGAGTGCCAGCCCTGAAGTCAGGAGGACCTAAACTCAAATTTGGCCACAGACATTCACTGTGTGACCCTGGGCAAGTCATTTCACCCCAACTGGCCCCCCCCACATATCAAGTCTGAGGCCAGGTCTCATTCTCTATGCAGTCATCCTGCACGTGCCTGTTCCTCCCCTACCCCCACAAGTCCTTAGGACTTGACAAACTCCAAATGCAAACA